TTAGAGGTAGGACACTTTCTCTAGTTTCGTTGTTAGAATAAAAGTGATCCTTCCCCTTTAGTTTCAATTAGAAAACCTTAGGTAAGGACCCGGCCCCGCCTGGATCACATGCCTCACACTCGTGCCCAAACATCTGCACACATTGTGCAGATGAAGTAGCACTGGCAGCCCTGCAAGAACCACATGGTGGGAGTGGGAGCAACAGCTCCCAGAATCAAGTGGCTGTTATTCCCAGAAGGGAGGGCCAAACAGATATTCTCCTTAATCACTCTCTGATTGTAATGACTGCACAGAACAGAAATCATGCATAGAGATTGGTATCTTGGATTCTATTGCCAAGTTCTTAGGTTCTAGATTTAGAACTCCTAAATTGTCAAAATTTTCTGCTGACTCTGAGAATCTCTCTTGTGTGCCCATAGTCCAAAACGGAAAGAGAGATGATATAGGTTCCTCTTTGGGGAGTGAGGGTAGGAGCGGGGACAGAGGAAACAGCGAGAAAAAGCAATTGAGGAGAATGGAGAACAAGTTTACCAGGAAACTGTAGCATGATTGTCAGACAATACGCTGATGGAGGTGCTAGAAACCTAAATGTTTGTGTCCCACCAAAATTCATGTTGAAACCTAATCCCCCAATATGATGATATTTGGGGTGGGGCCTTTGGGAGGTGATTGGGTCATAAGGGCAGAGCCCTCATGAATGGGATTAGTGCCCTTGTAAAAGAGCCCTCAATGAGCTCCGTTACCACTCCCTCCATGTGAGGACACAGCCAGTAGACAGCTGTCTATAAACCAGGAAGCAAGGTTCACCAGACACTGAATCTGTCAGCACCTTGACCTCAGACTTGCTAGCCTTGAGAACTGTGAGAAATAAATGTCTTGTTTAAGCTACCCTCTCTACGGTAGTTTTTTATAGCAGCCCAAATGCACTAAGACGGTAGGTAATCATGAATGTATAGTAGATCCAATTTGTCTTACGTGACTTTTTCTCTAGCAGTATTTGGCTGGTGGGGTGCAAACATGGAAAAACTGGATTGTGGCTTCATAACAGGGTGGAGGAATTTCTTTGAATTTTCTATGTAAGGTAGAAATGCAGATGAAGAACACAGTTCAGGGTATTGATAGAGAACGTTACGACTAGTAATAGAATAGATTGTAGAATCTCAGCTGGATACAAAGAGACACAAAGAAAGGCAGGCTCATGGATTGGGAGAAAGTAGATGAGAGAGAGCTGGGGGGGTCCCACTTAGGTCAAAGAAGAGTGGTAGGAGGTATAGTTAAACATAGTAATACCAATATGTATTTATCTGTATACTCAAATAGAAAATATATACATTCCTTTACTAGGATAGCCCCTGCACTTACAAAGAAACATTCTTACTCAAAAAGGACATATACAAAATGATGTAGCTATGATACAGTTTATTCTAATGTACTAAACCAATAAAATAACAGAACAACTCATTTCTTTGGGAAAAAAAAAAACAAATTCTATATATGTAGGATTGGCTGGATTGACCATAATGTAAAATACATTAAAAATATTTAAGTACACCACACCTAATAAACCTTTCTATGTAAACGGTAGATACTAACTTTGCTAAATGACCAGACATTTGGAAAAATCAAAACACAGTTGTAAAACATACACAAGTTAAGGTTCCTGGAAACTTAGAAAAAGACTGAATTGTTATGTTTTTACCTGTACAAAAAAAAATTCTTCAGCCTTTCATTTTCACCTATATTTTTTTTAACAGATATAAGCCCCAAATTTAAAGGCTTAAATTCTTTTGTCTTAATGCCTCAGAAATATCATATTTTCCTTCAAAGCTGTTGCTGTCTAAAAAGGAGCAGACCATTTGAAGGGTGGGAAAAACAAAGATATACAGATTTCACTTCTGTGCTACTCATGCAGATTTCTGCTGAGTAAGAGTTCCTGAGTTGGCTACCAGTTCACTCAACTTAGTTCAAAAACATAAATAGCTGGTTACAGGATTAAACTGGCATTCTTGTAGCCCAGCAGCAGCTCTCTTTATCACCGAAAATCAGTTGGTGACATTCAGCCCTTAGCTTAATCTGCACAAATGCAATTTGGGAATTCTGTGGTATGACGTTAGCATATTTAAATGTAAAATGCAAAATTCTGAATATGAAATAATTTATTTTTTAAATATACAAGTTGTTGTGTTTTCTCTATAATTACGTTTTCCATGAACAAATGAAAACCAAAGTGGCAAAAGGAGCTGAAAATTTTGAATGAGAGAACTGGAAAAATTTCATATATAAAGACATGACTGAGGTAAGCTTAAACTGTAAGAATAATTGTTTATTATTGTATGTAAATGAACAGCAAAACAGCCCTGTCTGAAAGCACTGGATCAGTCTTCCTGAGTCCTTCCAAGTCATGATTCTACATGGCTACAAGGAAATATTTTTAATAAATGCAATTTGTCATCAAACAACTAGTTTTTACATTCTTAAATAACCAACTTTACTATAGCAATGATTTAAATACATGTGCTGTTAAAACGAAAGTTATAAACATACTCTGAATTTTTTTCTTTGCCTGTCAGATAATATTAAAAAGAGACTCCACAACTTCTTGATTCCCTAAGAACTAAGAACCAAAACACTAAACATAATAAATAAATATGAAACCTGGAAGCCAGGAAAAGGGGATAGAATACTGAATATAATAAACCAGTGTATTAAAAATCCAGTATTTCAGTATTAAAATGTCATCTCAATACAGTTAGGTTTATTGCTACGATAAATAAGCTTTATATTAAGGCACCTGTAATCACCTCTGAGAAAGATTTGGATTCAAAACAAAGGGAATATGCAATATAAAACTTTTTTTCTTGCATTCTGATGTCACTACCAATATTTTATCAATTTTAAATGTAAGTTTTTGTATGGCAGTAGATGAATGTCTTGGAACATATTTCCTGAATATAGTTAAAATGTTTATGATACTATGATACTTTAATGAATGTATATGGTACCTTAATTAAAGTATGTGATAGTTTAATGGAAAAATCGGGAAAACCAAGTGAAGATGGATGGCAAAGGACTAAATATCAGAAATATGACAACTTCTAAGAAAAAAAAATATATTGTAGGGACAGTGAGTATGAGCAGATCTTGGCCAAGTCATTGAACTTTGCTGAGCCTCACTCTCTCCATCTATAAATTTCAATACTGGGCTTCCCTGGTGGCGCAGTGGTTGAGAGTCCGCCTGCCGATGCAGGGGACGTGGGATCGTGCCCCGGTCCGGGAGGATCCCACATGCTGCGGAGCGGCTGCTCCCGTGAGCCATGGCCGCAGAGCCTGCGCGTCCGGAGCCTGTTGCTCCGCAACGGGAGAGGCCACAACAGTGAGAGGCCCGCGTACCTCAAAAAAAAAAAAAAAAAAAAAAAATTTCAATACTACCTGCTTTGTCAAACTCATAAGGCTGTTGTGAGATCAAATGAGGTGATGAAAAAACAGTCGGCAAACTATGAAGCCTTGAACAAATAAATGGTATTATCATAGGCCAAAATAGCTCAAGTTTCTGATATCCTCTCTAACAGATAAAGTTATGGCCTGTTCCTTTTGCATCCACTTGAAACCTCCCAGTTTTAATCCATTAGATAGTTATGGAATGAATGGAGCAAAAACTTATGCAAAGAGAAAATGTCTAAACCTTATTAACCAGAATTGTATAAAATAATTTGCTGTGAGTGTGGAACCCCACTGCTTGCTTGGGCTCAGGCTACCTCTTGACAGTTCCCTACAACAGAGGGAGCAGACTTCTCAGATGCTGGCCTTTCCTCAGTCTCCCTAAACATCTGCTATCATGCAGCAGGCATCATTCCATAAAAGAATTAAATCTCATAACAGCATATAAGAGTTGTGGGAGTGGGGCTTCCCTGGTGGCGCAGTGGTTGGGAGTCTGCCTGCCAATGCAGGGGACACAGGTTCGTGCCCCGGTCTGGGAAGATCCCACATGCCGTGGCACGGCTGGGCCCATGAGCCATGGCAGCTGAGCCAGCGCGTCCAGAGCCTGTGCTCCGCAACGGGAGAGGCCACAACAGTGAGAGGCCCGCGTACACCAACACCCCCCCGCAAAAAAAAAGAGTTGTGGGAGTATAAGAAATATAGCTGAGGTCAATCACAGGTACATTACTCAGCTTGGCACAAAGTTGAAATGGTTCAATAATCCCTACCAGGTTCTCCCTTGCTTGGTCCACAGGCCCTTCCTCCATGTATAGAACGGTTATCTAGGCCAGCTTTTTCCAACCTATGTTCTGAGGAACAATAGTTAGGCGAGATGTTAACAGGTGAAAGACAGATCTTTGTTAAGTAGGTTTGCAATATGCAGGGGGGAATCAGTTTATGTACTGCAGAATTTCTCAGTCTTTGATGTACTGACTATACATTCTAAAGAGGCATGGAGTGTACAATATTTCCCAAACTCATTTGACCACAGAATCTCTCCCCACCACCCCACAAAATATCTAGAGGGGCTAACAGCTTTTACAATACTCTTTGGGAAATGCTATTCTAGCTAATTCACCCTGGTTTTAAACATTCCAGGGCTACGTCTGGCTAAAATTACCCTTTTAATTTCTGAAGGAGCAGAATCATTTTGCTTACAAGGTCAACTATCATGATAACCTCCTAGGTTCCACTCCATAAGTATCCTGCCCAAAGCAACTTAGAACTAAATTTCCTTAACTACACACTGAGAAATTCAAAGGAGTTATTCTTATGTTAATGAAAATTATAATCTTTTTAAGGAAATCTTTATGTTCTTCCTAAAACATTAAAAATACAAAGATCTAATTCTAGATCTTAGGACCTAGAATCACAACTACTTTGAGGAGATGGGAGTATTTTATCACATCACTGCAATTAATACTATTACTAACAACAACAACAATAACAATAGGAGGGGGAGATGGAAGGAGGAGGAGGCTGCAACAGTAGTATTGGCTAAGAACTTATTTTGCATCTTAATCCTCATACACACTTTATGAATTTAGGACCTACTATTACATTCCTTTTAAAGTACACTGAGGTTTAGAGAGATTAACTGATTTACCAAGGGTCACACAAAGTAGGACAGAATCTCAAACCCTTATCTGACCCCTCACGCCATGCTCTTAACAAATATCATGCCATCTTTTATTTTAGTGATGAAACAAAAGCATTTAGAGGTCATACTCTGACTGTTAAACAGGAAGATTAAAGCATATTTCTATAAATCCAACTTGATTGATATTTGGTTTTGGATTTCCTTTTGAGCAAACTCCTGTGCCCTAAAGAAGATGTTTTAGGTTGTTTTTTTTTTAAGCAGAGAAAAATAGACTGCTATTTACCAATGATAAGTTTAGATATGTATGGGGAGGGTTTTAAAAATCAGCATCTAAGGTGAAGACATTATCTGTAGTTTCCGCCATAACTGCAAAACGTTGATACTCTGAAACTCGTTTCTCAAAGAAATTTGTTTTCCCCTCTAAAGAAATGTTTTCCATAAAATCAAAGGGATTTTCTGCTTGAAAAACCTGAAAAGAAAAGAAATATTGTTAGACATCCTGAAGAAGCCAAATTATATCCCACAAGAAGAACAATAGATAACTCAGGTCTCCCAACACCTGTCTAGTCACCTAAAGATCACACTATTCCCTAGGGTCCTGGAAGCACTCAAGGCTGCTACACTTTAAGATGACTAAGATCACCTATTAACCTCTTAAAGAAACTATACGAACATCTCTGGTATTCTAAGAAGCAGAAAGGAAAAAAAGACTATTTTAAAATGGAAATGAAAGATTTAATGCCAAACTAAAATGACTAAAATGTCTTCACAGCTTGAGAAATCTAAAACACCATAGGTATTATAGGTATTTTTCACAGGTATTACCATTAGATAGTCACATCTACATGATACTACAAAATATTAAATTACCAACAATGTACTGTGGACATAAATATGTTTCTTAGTTCATAAGAGAACATATAATCATCAAATTGATGTTAAGGGACCATGATTGGGGAAGACAGAATAAATGCTGTCCATAGTAACCCCAAACAAAAAGTGGCACATAAGTTGACAAAACTTTTTTACTGCTTCTGAATTCAAGAGGCAGGCTTGGAGATAAAGCTTGATGGAAATGGAGATATTCCTGTGATCCATGAAGAACAATAAAAGAGGATTTTTAAAAATTAGGAATATTCCAGCAGGAA